ATCCTGCCTGCGTAATACCCATACTTCCAGTATCATCATCGTACAGCGAGATACAGTGAAGCGAGCTTCACTGATTGCTGCTTTTGGACTATATTCTGTGGGAAACCAATTGTATTCTGAATGATCACTCTTTAGTATTGACTCTTTAACCATTAACCCGCCGAGAGGTAATCACTAACGTCTCTTCCCTACTACTTCAACCACAAAATTCGCTCCTTCTGGCTCGTCGATTTGGTCCACCTTCTACGTCTGATAGCTCGCATGACCTGGTTCTTTATCACACATTACTTGAATTACAGTAAAGGAGGAAATTCCCATGGTCATATTTGCGTAAGATCCAACTTATTGATTCTTTCTCCGAAGAGAGACTGAAAACTGAGGGAAAGCCAGATAGTAAGTGTTTTACGGAAAAAAGACTGAAGTTTGGAAGAACGACATCTAGTAAGAATTGGTAGGTCTATATGACCAAGTAACTCTAAAATCCTGTCGAATGACAGTGATCAAGTCATCTGTTTTACGAAGCATGTGGTTGTGAAATACTCACATGTGCCATTTCTCTTATCACTTACAACCTTTGTAGAACCAAGCACAGCATCAGTAAATTTTGCCCATTCCCATATCTCAGTAGCTTTGGTGATTATGGGGTTAACACCCTTGTATTCCAGTGTGCCCGTCATACAATATTATATATATATATAACTAGTTGGCTAAAATTTCCCTATAAAAGGTTGCCCTAAAAAGTTTACCAGAACAATAGGAGAAAAGTACGAACTAACAATTCAATCACATTCACGCGTGTAACACTGGCCGTAAGCTAATCAAAAAGGATAATTATTCAGGACCTTTTTTATTGGTGAGGAAGTTCGGGTAATACGTCACAAGTCACAGCATCAAAGAATGCATAGAGCTGTACAATTCGGAAAGAGTCGAATGAACCCGCAAGTGACAAATGGTCACCTCACTGGCTTTAATCTCCACAGTCCATCATTCAAGTAATGAACGTTTTCTACGCCAATGCCTTTGTTTACACTGAGTCTGAAATTAGAGGGAAAATCATAGATTAATGGAGAAGTTAAATGAGATAAAAGGATGGTCGGGAAATATCGTTCCATGCTGAGCGTGTTATCAGATAATAAAACCGAAAATATTGCGTAGCATTGTGAATCAATGAAACGAGCACTGAACTATGGTTGAATATCTAGATTGAACATGCACAAGTAAGGCATCTTAGCAACTGCACCAGAGATAGGATGTGCTTTGATCTAGTTTGTGCAGCAAAATGAACATTTTGGTCAGTCACAGAAACTGTGAAGTTTGAGGATAGCATTCATATGTTCGCAAAATTTGTCATTCATAAAAACTGATTACCGATTTCAACTATGGCATATTTGCGAATAACGGAATTTATAGTACAATAATTTCTCTGACTGCGGTTAACTTCGCAGTCACTTAGTTCCAAATAGTGTTATATTTAAAGGGTATTATATGGTTCTTCGCTTCTTTGCTTTATATCCTCCAGGTAACGAATCTTGATACACCTGCTAACTGCGCAACAGGTTGGGTTTGGGTATCTTTGTAGACTTTCGTTGTGATTATCAAATAAACACCGGATTTGACTTGGAGAAACATGAAGTATTGCGCCCATAATTCAATCATGGATGGATTTCTTTCTTATGAAAGTACTGACATTATGATTCTGAGCCTAACCACGTGCAAACCACACGAACCTGAAAATTTCTTTTTTTTTATTGCACACGTTCGTATGAAGAACAGCAGACGGGGCAAACCCCATAATCATGAGGACCTGCTGTTCATTGATGGAAACCGGAGATCTAAGCTTCGGGACTTGGAGTGGCGAACCACATAAGGCCCCGATAGGTTAGTTGTGGTATTGAACCGGACAACAGCTCAGCTGCTTACTACCAAAGTTGGGTGGCGGGGCTCGAACTTCAGACCATGGGGTCCAAAGCACACCGGCGACAGCGACTAAACCACTGCGCCACCACCAATCTCTTTACTTTGGTTGCACGAAGAAACTAAAATCAAGACTGTAAAAATACTTAAAATTTAAAAATAAGCCATGGAGCCTAGGTTATGTAACGTGTTTGTTTTATCTTCAACTATGTATGTTTATCACACCTGTCGAAATCCAGATTGTACCAGACAAATAGTAGTACAATAATCGTTATAAAAAAGAAAGTTGCGTGATTTCAACTATCCAATCAAAGGCAAATGAAGCAAACTGATCCCATACTATACTGTTAATTTCAACTAACATTTCATCCGTAGACATAGAAGTTATCCCGATCGCCAAGGCATGTTCCTTCCCTTCAGCCATTATGGCAACCACAGATCCCTGAGGTACTTGTGTCATCCGAGCCCCGGGGGAAGTCAGTCCGGGACACATAATATTTGATCCATTTAACACGTGTTTTATGGCACCACGATCGACTTGGAGGTGTGGAAGCATAAACGGATCTGCCGTAAAATCGAACATAATGGAAATTGTATTGGTTTAATTGAAAATTTCTTGAGATTAAAAGATCAAAAATGAACACAGGAAATAGAAACGGTACCATCGGCTTNCTGAAGAAACGTCTTGGATCAGTGTGGGAGAGGGAAGAGGTTCCAGCTGAATTGTGTGAATCGGTAATCATACCGATGTACAGAAAAGGCGACAGGTCTTCTTGCGAAAACCACAGGGAAATTAGTTTAATCAACATCACCTCTAAAGTTACCGCTGGTATTATAATCCACCGATTGGGTGCCACACGTGAAGAGTGCACGCGTGAGAACCAGGCTGGTTTTATACCAGGTCGAGATAGTGTCGACCACATCTTTACTCTTCGTCTAATTCTAGAACACAGAAACTCCTATCGCAGACCCGATATTTCTATCCTCATTGATCTGAAAGCGGCTTTTGACCCAATCGACTGCTCTAAACTCTAGCGCTGCCTCTCTCTGAAGGGTGTAATTGATAAGTTTATTTAATTATTACAAGCCCTTTATACTAATAGCCGAAGCCGAGTCCGAGCTTACGGTACTTTTTCACCCGAGTTCACTATACAAAGTGGTCTGACAGGGTTGCCTCTCTTCCCGTTTCTATTTACCTTTGTCGTAGTTTTAATTCTTGAAACAGTCCTATCTTCGTGCGAAGATAGTATTGATTTACTTCCAGCTGGCACACTAACTGATCTAGAGTATGCAGACAGCATTAATAAAAGATCTAATTGAAGACCCAAGTAAGCTGCAAGCTTTTCTCAATGGTTGGAGTGCTAGTGTAGCCATGTTCAGTATGCATTTAGCACCTTCAAAGTGTAAAATGCTTCTACAAGATTGGGTTGGTCTAGTCCCCAAACCTCAGCCTGACTGGGGAAGTAGTAGAGGAAGTAGACAAATTTTGCTGTCTGGGCAGCTACATCTCACGTGGCGGACACGTCACAGATCATGGTCACCGGTNGCTGGGTGTAGCAAACAGTGACACTCATTCATCTACTCTATTCTTGCAACCTGTATGAATTCTCAACATCCCGATCCCCATTCTACTCTTTCATTCAAATGGACGGCCAAAAGACAGCAACCAAAACCGGCGCAAGAAAGTGCATGGTTAATGATGTAAAAACTGAAACTGAATCTTAAA